TGCTGATTTCAAAGGCTCTGCTCTAAGGTCTTAGAGGCTCATATATCAAACAGGCTTAAAAGGGAATGCTTTTCAAATCTAACAGCTTACCCACAGCTTATCTGTCAGAAAAACTGCCCTATGTTCTTCTCTGTGTTGTCTGGATTTCAAAAGACAAACACAGCACAATCTGTCTCTTATCTGCATCCTATATGTCAAGTGCATTGAGGGAGGTTATATACTGTAGTTGCTACGAGAATCACAGCACTGGCATTGCATGCTTTTCACTTGGAATTTAATATAATACCAAAAAAAACCAAAAAAAAAAAACCCAAGAGTTCTTAGAATAATTGTTATGCCTTTGTGTGCATCCCATTTACTCCTAAAATAATACGTAAACATAAAATAATTTGAGTTTATAAAATGGGTCTTTGGCCTTGTTACTTTCCTTAGAAGTCAGGATCATAAAAATAGGCATTTTGAACATTAAGGTAGGATCCGCAGCTCAAACTAGACACTAAAAAGAACCTTCCAGCTTAGTGGTGGTTTCAAGTACACTTATATGTGTATGGTAATTTGTTTAGTGCCTCAAGCCAACTGGACCATCAGCAGTTTGCAGATATTAATGCATAAATCCCCATATTAGTAGAGATTAGGTTCAAGTTCTGCATGACCATACAGTTCTACACTAGAAGACTGTAGAACACTTGCATTTTCATCAAAGCTACGTCACATAGTTTTTATGGGAACACAATGGAAGGATTCCCAGGTTTCTTATCTTGAGCTCCTTAAGGGAAAATTTGGATATAAATAAAATCAATGACTAAAGAACTAAAGAACTAGGACTCAATGAGATGAACACAGCAGTATTTATGTCATATATATTCTACTAAGATTTTTTTTTTGTTCACCACAAATATCTAATGTATTCCCTATGTCTTCTTAGCCATACTTCCCAAAACCAATAGCGTAAGTGGTATTAATTGGGTTAATTATATATGGTAATTGCCAGAAATTGTGGGACTGTAAACACAGAATTGTTTGACCAAAACCATTACAATTATGTCACATTATACCTGATTTTATATTTCACATTTTGGGGTGGAAATAAGAATGTAAAAATTATTTTTTGGTTTTGCCAAAAAATTAATTCAATTAATTATTGCCTAATATACTGTACATAGTATCTGAATTATGAAGGATCAGGATGTAGATAAGCATGCACTTCTATAGAACCAAAACACTAACCATTACAAATTGGGAATACATCAACAAAGAGCTAGATTTGAATCGAGATACCTTCCAAGGAAATCACATTAACTTTTATACTCCTAATCAATTATGACAATCCATGTCATCTGCTGCATATGGATGTTATTTTTATTGTGTGACATACATAGGGTTAAATATGTAATTATAAATAATTTATAGAAAGTTTTAAATAATTAAGAGACAGATTTGTTTATAAATATTACATAAAGATATAATGGCAGGTTGTTACAGTCAACACTCAGATCAAATTACCTAGTTACCTATTGAACTCTGAAACCAGTCTCTAAGAATCAGACATGACTGAACAGATTTAAAAAAAACACACACAAAAACCCATTCATTAAACCATATCCAGGGCTTTCTACACAATGCAAACAACTGTAGTAGCTAGAATAAACAAAGACTCATCTTCTCACATAGACTCAGCTGTAATATGTGTCCTTTAATTATTGCTAAAAACTATTGATTAAAAGCAGTGAGTATAAATTTAATAGAGAAATTCTACACTCCAATACAAGATGAACACACCATAAAAAATGAGTCTAGGATACTCCAAGTAGTCTGGATGACCACAAAGTAGCAGCAAATGGCTATAATTTTCTATATTATTTTTGTTGCCTAGTAATTGACTGGAATTTTTTTTCTTGCAGCCTAGATATGGTAGCTATAATCATGGTATAAACAAACTTAGTCACTTGTGATAGGTTCTACAATCGAAACCAGATTAGCTACAAAACTCCTGAAGTCTTTGAAATAATCAAAGTTTACAGTGTTAAATCCATGCAAATAAAGATGGTTCAAAAATATTCATTTATTTACTTGTCAGACTTATACCTTGCCTTTCTTCCAGGAGTGCATGGTGACACACATAACATTCTTTCCTCCATCTTTTTCCATGCAACCACATCCTTGCTGAGAGACAGTGACTAGTCAGAAGTTTCTGAGTTTCTATGGCTGATGGGGGACAAGAATCTGCTCTCTCTACTTAAGCACTACATCTCACTAGTTCTTTTATAGTGAGAAAAGTGTCTTTCAAACCATCTTCTGGAGATATATAGAAAATTCTTACAAGTGAGTACTTTTATACTTTTCTCACACTCTCTGTTAGGTACCGTACATCATAAAATCAAAAACACAAAGAACTGTGGCAGATTAATTTTTGTTCTGTTGGGATAGGTATTCCATATAAAGCAGATTCAGATAATTACTCTCCATGTGAGATCCTCATGGTACATGGTTCATTTAGAACTCTTGACATTTAACCAGCATGCTTCAAAGTTCTAAGAGAGGCATTTATTAATGGATTCTCCTTCTCTGGATGTGATCAAGTGGAAACCAGACAGCCATCTGCTAGACATGAAATTTATATTTCTGCCATAAACAGATGGTTGGACTCGGTGGCCTAAATGGCTTCTTCCAGCTTTAGCATTCTAATAGTTTCATCTGGTAATGTTCTCTGCAAATCTGAACCTTATTAATATAAACTTCACTCATTTCCCCCTCTATTCCTTACCACTGCAGTTTTATTTTTGATTCTGTAGTATGCAAAGAGATGGTTGAACATTTCTCCTGGATAGAATTTTAGATAGGAAACCATCTTGAAACTTTCTGTCTTATTTAGCAAAGGAATAATTTGCAAAGGAGTTCTCAATCCTCTCTGAAATGCATTCTCAATTATTTCTTTGCATGTGTTACAATGGTTTCCATAAGAGAACTTTTCATTGGTCAGATGCCATTTTGTGCTTTGCATCACACTTTAAGAAGGATTCTGGCTAACTCATAAAGAACTCAGAAAATGACAGAAAGAATGGCCAGAGAGTAGGAATTAAGCCCTATATGAGGAAAGTGAAGGAACCTGAAATGTTTAGCCTTGAAAAGAGAAGAAGGATAAGACAGTACATTTTAAAGACTTGAAAAGATGGCAGCCAGACTAAAGGCCTGACCTCTACTGATCAAGTGCAGGACTCAGAATAATGGATTTAAATTGCAGGAAGGCTGCTTAATTTGGACTGAACATTAGAACAGAACCTCCTAACGGATTACTGTAGCTTGGTAGTAGAAACATTTCAATGTTTCTGTTTAATTGGCAAGAGTTACCACTAAGTATTATGAAGAGAGGGCCATCCTAGCTATTTATTTCTTCTCATACAAATAAACGAGAGCCCTTTCCCTGATATGGCAAATAGGATTGTATTGTGGTGACTTCAAGGGGGTATTGTAATTGTGCGGTATACACAAATAGAGTGTACCACCCATATAATAATGTGAGATACTTAAAAAGCTTATAATTAAATGGCAGCGACAGACAAGAATAGCATCTTTGTCGATTGTTTTTGTTGCTGAATATGTAAAACACAGAATAGTTATTTTCTGTTTCCATGGGTGGCAGAAGCTACTTTAGGAATTAGTCCCACATGGGAGATATTAATTAAATCCCTGCTGGTTGTAGACACACTTAATATTAATGGAGTTCTTCTGCCACCTTCAGTAGAAAGCAGCATTTAGTTGAGGAAATAACTCTCTGTCCATCACAGTGGTTAAAATCATTACAACATTTGACATTGCAGACATTTAAAAAGTTGCCTAAGGGAGGAATATGGTATATACTCCAAGTATTTGTCAGCCTTCTGAGACATGACATTACGTTCAGATAATTTTCAAAATAATTTTCAAAATCATACAACAAGGCCTAACATGAAATAAGATTTATAAACAAAATAGATCAGGAACAGCAGGAAGGTCAGCAGGGTTCCCACCCCCCTGTTTTAAAAAAAATGACAACAAAAAATACTTTCCCACTCAAATTTATGCTGCTAAAATGAATAAAATTTAACTAACCAAATTTGTGCAACAGCTATTGAATTTTGATATTCAAAAAGAAATTCCAGGGTCCAGAATAATTTCAATCACCTGAACCAGTTTTTCAGATTAGGTTGAATACTTATCTGTCTATAACACCTGGACCCCAAATCTTTGCCTGCTATCTGATAAAAATGGCTACAGCTTGTATCTAGTTCTATTTCAGATAATGAAATGACATTAATATTACTTCCCATGAATTTTCCAATTTGATCACAACAATATTGCAAGTTGGTAGCATTTTAGAGAAATATCAAGCCAGCTGTCAGCTATAGTAAAGGACTGTAAAGGATTGGAATCACGTTGAATATTTAGATCTAGGTTGCAATCCCTAAAGACATTTACTGTGTAGGAAAATGGGAATACTTCTGTGTAAAAAGAATAGTGCTATTGATATTTTTATTACTTCAAAACATAAAAAGTATTTGTAGCCATTCAGATGTTGCACAGCTACAACTCTCATTAAGAATGACAGGAAGTGTAATATGTTTCATTATCATAGAATAAGGAAATTGAAGAAGGAGATAATTTAGTCCCTGCTTTTAATTATATTTTATAAGCTCAATACTTGCCAAATAGAATAAAGCTAAAAAAAGGTTCTTTTTGAAACCATGTTGACATGGAATTGTAAATATTGTTAATACAAAAAACTCAAAGTACTTAAAAATCATCAAATACAAAGACTTTTATAAAACTGGACATTTTGATGAAACATACTGTTGGAAAACCTAGAAACACAAGATTTTTTAAATTGTCCATACTGTTTTAACCCAAGTAATCCAAGAAAAGTGAGCTGCAGCTACTTACCAGAGTGGCTCACAATTACAAATTAATCCCAGAACTCTTATTTTAAGATGAAATGTTTTCAAATACACAAAAACACCTCTTACCCAGTATAGCACATCTGTCCATCCTTCCATGGTTATACACTGGAATACCGTTAACATTGCATAACCAAAATTATCAAAGTTTGTTATGCCTCCATTTGGTCCAGGCCAGCCACCCTTACATTCAGTGCCATTTTGGGGACACTGACGTCCACTCCCTGAGAATGCACAAGGTGCAGGTTCCTCTTCAACTAATATTTCTAAAAGTGAATAAAAAATATTTCAGGTTGAGCAGTATTCGGCCTCTGGCTCAGAAAAAAAATCAGAGCAGTCATGTATCAAGGATCATGTATCTGAATGAACATTAAAAGCTCGATTTCATTAGACCTTGAATACTGATTTACCTAAATCATTATTCAAACAAGCTTACGCATGTACATGTTGTCATCTATCTGGGGACGTTTCTTTGTGAACTAAACTGTACGAAAGATACATACTGCAATTCCACAGTTTTTACATTTGGTGCTACAATGATATGAGAGGTTAACCTTGATGAAAAATGGCCTTGAAGATTGTGTGTGTGTGTGTGCGTGTGCGTGCGCGTGCCCCATATTTTTTGCACTATAAGACACACCTGACCATAAGATGGACCTAGGTTTAGAGGAGGAAAACAATACAAAAAACTTCCAGATGGAGCGTGAGAGGACCACAGACAGGTGTCCTCTCATGTGCCAGTTCTGCCTATTGACTCCTGCACTGCAGAAAAGAGACATTAGAGGCAGGCAATTACAAAACCAGAAGAGGCTGGGCTCAGCACTGTAAAAGGACCCCACTGCTGCAGCCCGGCTACTATTCACCAAAGATGCACAGACATTTCAACCCACTTTAGAGGCAGGGGGGAGAAGTGTCTTATGGAGCGTAAAATACGCTATATATATTGTGTGTCTTTTGGTGTGAGTGTCTCTGTCTGTCTCTGTGTGTATATGTATTCCTATCATGGCATTATATACTAATGTGCACTTACAAGACTTTACTCTCTGCTAAAAATCAGATAGAATGGTACTTTACAAAAAAAAACAACAGGGTCATATATTAATTAATATGAAATACTATATCCCATCCTTCTAATGTGGTCTCTAGATTTACATTTTATACATATAAAATATATTCTATATTACATGCCAATACAACAGAAATCATATAGGGGTTAACAATTACAAATTTTCTTCAAAAAAATAAGCAAAAATATGTTTTTATCTATTTAAGAATAGTAAAACTGTGCCTGGTCCAAAAATCATGTTTACTATGGTATTTTCTTATTTAACACTACATTGCTATATATGAATAATACCTAAATCTAAGTCAGCAGATTTCTATTTTGAACTTTGAACCGTTTCTTTGTGAAATTGTCAGAACTAATTAACCATTAAGAATGAATTTTAAGCAGTTTTATTCTTTTTGAAAACCTAAAGATACAGAATCAGCCTCTGAGAGAATATCCTTTTTCAGGTTACATAATATCACCAGACTCCTCATCATTATTAATCATCTATACTATTTTTTTTTTTTACTTTTAGGTAGGCAGTGCTATAGAAGTATTTATTGTACCCTAGCTGGCTGCAGATCTTGGCTGCAGTTACCAATGGCTTGAACATTTTCTCACAATTTTGTTCCGATATAGATAACCTGAACTGATAATTTTTACTGTGAATGTCACATTGAGTGATGCAGAAAGCTGTAGATGTCTCCCATGCAGAGGGAGACAGGGAGGATATAATTCTGACCCCATTAAATCTGAGTTTTTCAGAAAAAAGCAATATGTCATCTGCATTTATTTGGTGAGAACTATTCAGTGAGAATTAGAGCTTTCAATTAATGGTTTCTGATGCCACTGTTCAATTCCAGTTAAAAGTAACAATTGCTTTACTCACCTGAATCTTCAAAATAACACGATTTGTGCATTTTTCCAATAAAAAGTTCCAATCCTATAATAGCATAGATTATGATTACAAATAATACCAAAAGGGCAATATGGAGTAAGGGTACCATGGCTTTTATAATTGAATTCAGGACAACTTGTAAACCTGTAAGATAAAGAACACTGGTTATACTGTTTTGGTTTTTTTGTAGCTACAAAGAACAAATGCAAAAACACAAATAGGCATCAGGACTAAAACCGCTGCCACCCCTCCTATTTTTAGCACAGCCTTTACAACCTGGGGCACTGCAGAAATATTGGACTACATTTCTGACTCTCTTGCAGTCAACATGATTGTACTGGGGGTGGGAGACAGCACAGATAAAATAAAATGGCCATGCAAATACACAATACTTTAAGATGCATTTGAACATAATACAAGCTCTCATTTTGTTAAGGGAAGGAAAAAAGCTAACTCTTATTTAAACTGAGATTTTTGTATACATACAAAATTAGAGATATCAATCTGATGCCAATGAGAATTTTACATCCTACTAAAAGGCTTTTTCTCCATTTATGGACTATCTCTGACAATTGCTTGATCCTCCATTGAAGTGATTTTCCTGAACCACATCAATTGCCATCATTTCCATGGCAACAGATTATAGTGTGATAAACATAGCATTATGACCTTGTGTATGGATGAAATATTAAAAGCAAAGAGATTAAAAGAACAGATGCTTCATTCAACCCGAAATATTCTCAGAGAGAGAAGGAAAGAAAAGAAAAGAAAAAGAAAGCCAATGAATGCTTGTGAAGTGTTATATAAAGGATTACATGTACAGTAAATCCACCTGTTATTTTGTTGAACTAGTTGTTCCAGTAGCCTTCCTGCATATAATAGACCCACTCTCACTAGTTAGGGCCACAGTTTAATAGGGTGCAAATTGATTTTTTTAAAAAAAAAAAAAACAAACTATTAGTATCTTAGAAACTTTTTGGAAATTCTAAAAAAGGTCATGAAAGGAGATAAGTGGTTTTGTATGGCCAACATGTTGGGCACAGCCTCTAATGTCTCTTTTCTGCAGTGCAG